GACTGCGAGATAAAGGGCAGGAAGTGGTTGTTCTACATAGGAATCACTATCAGAACATTAAAATGTTTCTGTTTTATGTTATTTATAATTCTTAAATCGGCCAATATAAGAAATGCTAAAGGCCTTTTGTAGCCTTCCAAAAGTTTTTTTTAATCATAAAGGGGGAAAAGTTCAAGAAACTGGCTGAAAAATGTAAGAAAAGGCAGGATGTAATTAAAGATTTTTTCAATATATCCATGTGTACAAACATAGATAGCCATCTTGTTTTGCAAAATTGAAAATAAAATAAATGGTTTAGCTTATTAAAACAATTTACTGATTACATCGGTGTCATTGTACACGTTAAAGGGTTAAAAGTGTATTTTTTTTTTAACTTTAATTATTTAGCGATTCCCCCGAGTACCACTTGAAGGAAGCCTGCGTATCACTAGCGGTACGTGTACCACAGTTTGAGAACCACTGATGTAGACCATGCGTCCACGCTTTTGTATGCTTTCATCTGTTATTTTGTGATGTCTGGAAGATATCTGCATGAGAAAAATCTATAGTAATTTAGTTCCCACTTTATATTAAGTGGCCTTAACTAATATGTACTTACACAGGAATTAATAGTTTGTTACAATGTACTTGTTGTGTAAATACATGTATTTATTGTGTACTTATGCTTGATTAAATACATGTATGTAATTACATCTGTAATTAACTTCTGTAATTACATTTGTAAATACACTGCTGACCATTCCCTACACCTTAACCCACCGTTAAACCTACCCATCCCACCAAACCTGTCCATAACCCAACCCCTATCCCAACTCAAGAGCAATACACGTGTTCTCAAATACATTATGAAAACAGTAACTAAATTGTATTTATTTTAATGCAACTACATAGTAGTTAAGGACACTTAATATAAAGTGGGACCGTAATTTATAATAAACATGTTTTTGAACCACAGAGTAAAGTGTATAATGTTATAACTCTTTGTTATTAGTAAACTGATAAACTGTAACAAATACTCTGCTGTTAGTGCAAACTATGTTGGTGCATTGTGATGGTGTAAAATTAAAGCGTAGAGAACTGAAGTCTACTGAATAATTTGTTTATTACTACAGTTTTGTCGTACCACAGCAACAATATAATTACTACAACAATAATTCAAGTAATTATCTATAGTATGCTTCCAAACACTAGTATTTACTATAGTATTTTTCATATAATAGCTTACACAGTATCTACCGCCTCGATGACTGGCAAAAATATTTTAATTCAGTAGAAAACTCAACCCATGATATAAGGATCATGCTCAACATGTATGGTTATTTTCTATTTATATCTCCGTTGAAATATGGTATAAATCGCAAATATACACACTTTCCTCTATGTCTCCCATTCAGTTTTTTACTTCCTGCTCTCCATTTGAATTTCGCGTGTCACCAGAACCACGTGATTGATAACGTATACCATACAATGAAAAAACTGACTGTAAAGCAATAAACAAGGCAAGGAGAAACTAAAAACTGAAAATATTACTCAAGCATGTGTGAACCAGGGATTTTTGTTCAAAATACAGTAATCCATGCACCACATTAAACATGCTAATTTACTTGCCTGAGTAAGACCTCCAAACTTTAAAAGTTATTTTAGGCATGGCCTTACAGATCTGGGGTCTTATTAATAAGACTTTGCATAAAAACCTTCATAAAAGTGATTGTACAGCAGAATAGATAATTTTTTTTTTCATAGAAAGATTTAGAGTGGTTCAATTAAGTCAATATTTAAGTTAAATATGTCTACTTAGGGTGCTTTCACACCTGTGAATCGATTCAGTTGTTCCAAAACAGGGATTCAAATTGTTACAGTGTTGCTTTTTGTTCTTGGTGCAGTTCGCTTTCACCCGGCAAAGTTTCTAAACAGACCAAAAGAGCAAAAACAAGTCACGTGTGAGTAAACTCTGCTCATATTGGTCAGTTTACGGTTTATTTTGCAGAGTCCCGCTCAGCTGTCAGGGGGATGGTAGCGGTTTGGTGGTGTTTGACAGGGTGCGCACGACATGTTTGCGAGGAAGGAGGAAGGATGCTGAGGGGAGGGTTAAGAAGGGTGCACAATGTATTTGAGAACCGGGCGGGAGACATGTGATTTCCGGGAGATTATCACTCATTTGCGGGCATCTGGGAGTCTCTGTGCATTTGCGGGAGACTCACGAAACTTCCGGGAGACTCGGGATGTCTGGAATGACCTCCTGCCCTACTCATAATTCTCTCTTCATATAGCCATATGCCTATTACATATCCATAAAACACTGAGATATAACCGGGCTCAGATCGTATTGCTCTCTCACTAAAATCGATCTGCTACAGAGTTTGTTTCAATCGAGCCGAGACCACCTCATTCAAGCGATCTCGGATCGATTGTTTTGGTGCAGATTCGAGCGTGATTGGTGGTTTCACATAAGCCAAATGAACTGCGCTAACTGGGCTAACAAGACACAAAAAGAAACAAAAGTCTAGGTGTGAAAGCACCCTTAGAGTTTACTTACAGCTGGACACATCACCATTCAAGTAGTATTTTTTTTTTTTATAGATCACAAATTTCGCATAGGAAGTTGCGTATACACGTTTCTACCTCCGTTTTGTGCATACACCATGCTTAAAAAAATGAGACCCCTGGCTCTTTTTCAAGTTGGTGTCAAACTCTCCCCATCTAGTTTAATTTTTAATTGCACTTAAGCAACTGGAAAGGTGATCAGATTAAAGCCCTTGCTTTCATTTAGCTTTTTTGATCCACAGCCCAATTGGCAACTCATTTTAATTGTCTGTGAAGCACACCTGCGTGTTTTCATATGAATTCTGAATCGCATTTGAGTAATCAGATCCAAAAACTCTTTGCATTGCTTTTAGATACTGGTGTTAATTCTAGGGATAATCTGGGTCTCTGCGTGAGGTCGTTTGTTGTGACATATAGAGCTGACCTCATTATCTGACCGAGGGAATGATGTTCTGTTCACTGTGACTCTGACCTCATCTCTCGTCCAGCTCGGACCCTTTCTATCGCTGCCAGGCGTACGTGACAAATGTGATTCATTCGCTCGGTCATTCAGGCTGTCTTTACACCATGAATGCAAATGAGCAGACATAGGCCAGATAGCCCTAAGCCCTGTCACAAAAATCACCATGAGACCTAGCAGCCCTCCGAGCCCACATTATGTTGACGTAACACTATGCAGACCAGAAACGAATCTGCCGTGGATAAATGGGACAACTTATGGATCTGTGGACTTCACTGACAGGTTGCTAGGCCTTTGCGAGTTCATGCATGCTCAGGTTGGATAAAGGTGGTGAAATGGACGAGAAAGAAAATGTGACATTTGAATAGTTTTAAATAGTTTTGAATAGTTTTACTTAAAGGAAACCTTTTTGAAAAAGGCTCATTTTACAAGTTTCCTAGAGCCTGAATCATTTTTGTATTCTTTCAGCCAATTTCTTGTGAAAGGAGCCCATGCTCATGCATTATGTAATATCACTTTGTCTGGTGCAGCCATGGTACAGAAGCAGAGATTCTTGATCATTACGCCAGAATGAGAGTATAGTTCCTATCAGCATTGGCCTTGAAAATAGTAACTTTTTATTTTTCTGTCAGTTTTATTGCATGATGTAACTACAGAAACTCAGGCTTTAAATAGGAAAATAATCAAAACTCTTTTTTCATTTTTTATGAAATGCTGATAGAATAGAATAGAATAGAATAGAATACAATAGAATAGAATAGAGAATAGACTAGCTCAGCCAATTGTAAGTTATTTTAAACTATTTTAGCCAAGCTAAGTTAAAAGTGACCCCACCAGAAAAAGAAATTTGCTGAATGGTTTAATAAATAGTTTAAGTCAACTTTTTAACTCTATGAGACTTGTAAAATAAGCCTTTTTGAAAAAAGGTGGAGGGTTTCTTTAAGAATGCAACATTTAAATTAGAAGAAAAAGTCTCAAATTTAGAGTCATGGGTTAAAAAACTGCATGCATGAATGAGTTTCTTGGTCTATCTGTTTTAATATACAAATGTTTTAATGCCCTTCTATCAAAATCTATCTCAAATTTAGAATAATTACCTTAAGAAGAATGATACTTTTGTGGAATCAATCAACTTTATTTATATAGCACCTTACTGTAACTTACTGTCATGTTTTTGGGTTCCCTAGAAACATTTCCGTTGTGTTATGTGGATATTAGCAAGTGTTGTGACCGATTTGTAGCGTTTCTTCAGTTTTTTGTGTTGTGACTAATTTGTTGCATGTGTGCTGTCAAATTGATGAAGATCGTTTATTTATTTGCTGGTGTTTTTTGTACTTGCATGTGCTTTCTTAAATTGCAGCGCGTTAAACTCTCTCGGCCACCATTACACATTAAAACACATAAGATAACAAGTGCACAATCTAACAAGAATGTCAGTAAAACAGCATTTAAAAAAAAATCATTTTATGACCTAGAAAATATTAACTTTTCATTTTTCTGTCAGTTTTATTACATGATGTAACTCCAGAAGACTCATTTCTAAATAATAGGTTTTAATTTTGCTTTAAACAGTGCCACATTCCTGATATTACTAAGTTCTATAGTGAGGGTATTCCACTGTTTTAAACCTGCCACTGCAAAAGAACGATCACCCCATTGTTTATGCCTGGATCTGGGGTTCTCCAGCAACAAGTGCAATATGAATATGAATAAAGGGAATATGAATATTTTGTGCATAAGGTACAGCACAGGAAAGGTTGTTTCTGGTGGAGATCAGTATAAAGTTGCGCTTTCAAACTTGACTTGTTGCAATTATTCAGATACTAAATACTAATTTACCATCATAAAACCTATTGAAACCCTGGTGTGACATTGTTTAACACAATTAACACCTGTTGAGAAGGAGATATTTCGGTTGTTTTGCAAATATAAACAACCAAGGAGGGGATGAGCGTTTGAAGTGTTTTAATTGTAATCTTATTTACTTGACTTTCAGATGAAAGGATCTTTGAGTCGACAGCTTCAGTGTTGCAGTCTTCACGTGGCCCAGCGGTAAGTCACTCGAAATTATCACACACTGCGATTCTCCTGCTCTCTCTTTCTCTCTCTCTATCTCTTGTCTCTGTGTCAAAAGAATGGCAACAGTTTCAAAACAAACTCCGTTGTACCCGAATGTGATGTTGTAACGTCTCTGAAAAACTGTGCTGGACAGAATCGGAGCGGCTGGATTGGCATGTTCTGCTGACCCGAGCACATCGGCCTAGTTTCTGTGAGTTACGGCAGCATTGCAGCATAAAAGCTTTAGGAATCATAGGGAGGGTTTGCAAACTTGAAGATGGAGCTATTGAAGGCCTGGATAGAGTGTGTGCCGCGATTCTTTAGAAAGCACACGATGTTCAGTTTCACATCCCACAGAGACTCAGGAGGTTCATGACCTCAGTTGAACAGCTGATCTATTAGCCGAACAAATATACCAAGCAAACTACAAGAGCTGTTCTGTTCATTTTAGTGTGTGTTCACACTTGGAAGGCTTGGTTTACCTAGATTTACCTTGGTTTTCTACCTAGGTGCTCCACAGAGTGACACAGGAAATCTTTTTTTGTGTATATCCATCCTTTGTGTATTAAACTTTCTAGTTCTTTAGTAAAAATAATACATTAATGATGTAATATTATATTCTTATAGTGTATTGTACATTATATGTTTATTATTGTACATTATGACAAGATTTATTTTTATATTTCTTGCATAAAAATTTTTCTTGGATTTATTTTTGAAGCTGCAATAACAAACTTAATTTTCTTCCAGTGATTAATAATAGATTTATGATTGCTGTTTCTGATTTTTATGCAATTGTGTGAGCGGAAAAAGCAAACCATGCCACTTTTTCTACTAATTTTAATGCGCTCACAGTGCTGTGCCACCCTCGGTTGCTCTTTCTGAGGAATCACCACTGACAATCAAGTCTAACTGAACTCTAACTATTATTACTGACGTGTGTAATACATTCACAAAGTGAAGCTGATTGATTGGTTCTTGTCACATGTTGAGTTGTACACTTACAGCATTCTGAAAAATTTACAGCGTTCCTTCATGATCAGGAATCCTGTGATGTCTACAACAAGCGTTATTTCTCAAACCAGTTACAAGTGTTGCTATAACAACATTTCTAATATTTTATTTTTTATCTTATTTTAATCTCAATAAACACTTTCTTGCTAACAACTATAGGCTACATTATTTAAGGGCATTTGTTACAACATTGATAGGATCAAATGTATATTTTCTTTTTAATATTAAGATATTTTCCAAATGTATATTTCCAGCCATGGGTTGCTTATTAAACACTTTTAAATTTGAACTTGAAAATGAAAGCACATCAGCAGGTTAAATAAGATGATCAAGAGAAAAAATAATGACATAAATGACAGATGTTTGTGATGCAACAATTACATTAAAGCATTAATTAAATCTTTATTTTCCACTGAGTGAAACAAATCATCCACCGGCACAGTTGAGTAGTGGACGGGCACAAACTAACAAATATTATTTGTATATTTTTCATGGAAAAAGTTCATTCATTCATTCATTTTCTTTTTGGCTTAGTCCCTTTATTTAGGGGTCGCCACAGCAGAATGAACCACCGACTTACCTAGCATATGTTTCACACAGCGGAAGCCCTTCCAGCGGCAACCCATCACTGGGAAACATTCATACACACTCATTCACACACACACCAGGTCACCTATACCGCATGTCTTTGGACTTGTGGGGGAAACCAGAACACCCAGAAGAAACCCAGGCAAACACGGTGAGAACATGCAAACTCCACACAGAAATGCAAACTGACCCAACCGAGGCTCAAACCAGCGACCTTCACCACTTGTACTTTTAGGGGGCACACTTAGGGTGCTTTCACACCTGTGAATCGATTCAGTTGTTCCGAAACAGAGATTAAAATTGTTACATTGTTGCTCTTTGCTCTTGGAGCGGTTCGCTTTCACACTGCAAAGTTTCTAATCGGACCAAAAGAGCTAAAACAAGTCACGTGCGAGTAAACTCTCCTTACATTGGTCAGAGTGTCAGGGTTTATTTTGCAGCGTCCCACTCAGCTGTCAGGAGAGGTGGTGGTTTGGTGGTGATTGACAGGGTGCGCGCGCGATGTGTCTGAGGAGAGACACGGTGGGGAGGGGTGAGAAGGGTGCGCGATGATGCCTATTTGAGGACTGGGAGAGAGACACGAGATTACCGGGAGATCATCACTCGTTTGCGGGCATACGGAGACTCGCGAAACTTCCCGCCATACTCATAATTCTCTCTACATATAGCCGTAAGCCTATTACATATCCATAAAACACTGTGATACAACCGCGCTCGGATCGGATCGCTTTCTCACTGCAATCGAACCGCTCCAGGGTTCGTTTCAATCGAGCCGAGACCACCTCATTCAAGCGATCTCGGAGCGATTACTTTGGCGCGGAACAGAGCGCGATTGCCCTGTTCACATATGCCAATCGAACCGCGCTAACTGGGCAAACGAGACACGTTCCGAAACAAAAGTGTAGGTGTGAAAGCACCCTTAAACATACATCACAAACTACTTAAACAATTATTCAAAGTCTTTTTTTTTATGCATCACTCAGCAGTCTTCACAGACATGACATGCTAATTAAATAACTGAAACTTAAAATAATCTTCCATGTTAGTTATTTGACAAGTAACTTTGTATTGTAGTAGGAAAACACTTTTTTAACATTCAACTACATCAAGGCACATTTTTGCACCTGTAAACTTTTGCACCTGTAAACGTCTTTTTTGCCCTCCCATTCATTTAAAATAATGTTTCCCAAGTAATCTTTAACAAACCAAAGAAATTTTCACAGTATTACATAGAAAATAAATATAATTCTTCTGTTAAGTCTTATTTCTAATAGTTTGTCTTGAATAAAAGAATAAAATTTTAATATTAATTATTAGCTTCCTTAAGACATATTTACTGTGTATTTTTGATTGCCTACACAAAAAAACAGTTATACAATAACCTGACTAATTATTTTAACTTTCCTATTGTTAACATAACCTAGCTATGTCTTTAAATTACAAGTATTCTGAATCTTGCTAAATAATTAATAAAACATACACTCACTGTCACTATAAAGACAAAACAGTATTAGAAATTAGTTGAACTATTATGTTTTTAAACATATTGTAAAAAAATCATGTGTTTGAAGACTCGTGCTTTGTCACTACTGAAAACAAAAATTAATTAAGGAAAAACTAAACAAGCTGAATATTACTTTTACATGAGTGTGACTGTAAACTAAATTCGATCAATGTGTTACATCTGTTCTCTGGTACTTGCCGACTGTGTGTAAATTCAAGAAAGGACTCAGTCATATCTTTTTCTACCACCGATGGCTTCTCTGTGGTGTTTTAGTTGTGACAAAAAAATACGGGTCCAAATTTGGGGGCGGGGGGGCGGTGGGGCAACGTCCCAAAATCATGCCAAAATCGTGTGATCTGATCAGGGTTAAAGTGTGAACCCTGCCCACCGACAAAAATCATAAAAACACATACTAAAGACAAGATATCATAATAAGATATCATAAAAATGACAGGAAAACAACAAGACATAAAAAAGACAGAATGTTGTTTGTCCGCCACTAGTATAGCTGTAACATGAAAAGGTAACAGTTGACCAAAGTTTTCACAAGTAGAAAAATATAAAGATATTGAATATACACTTGCATTCTACTACTACTACTTGCAATCACTAACAGACCGTTTAAACCAGGGGTCTCAAACTCAATTTACCTGGGGGCCGCAGGAGGCAAAGTCTGGGTGAGGCTGGGCCGCATAAGGTATTTCACAAAAAAAAGTCCTCAAATGTCATTATTAACAGTTTTAATTATTTCTTCTGAACATGAAGTGTCCTGAACATTAACAGAACATTGAGTGAAGATTATAAACAGTTCTTCTGAACATGGCATCTTTTGCCTACTTCTTGCTGCCAGAGACTTGACAGCGCTTCTTCCCACAAATCTGAACCACATTTGGCTTTAGAGCGGAAGCAGTTGAGACCCTCAGTATGGCTTGAAGATGATCATCATTAAGTCTAGACCTGTACTTTGACTTATTGAAGTCCTAGGGAAAAAAAGTGGGGGAACTCACTCAAAACTTCCATTCCCTCCCCTAAAAAAAAGGCGTATATATGTATAAATAAAACACCCCCACCCCACTCCAGTCACATCAGTCTGTACCAGTCTGTATCTACCTATAATATCAACACAAGATGCAGGGCAGGCCACATGCCCTTTTTAGTCTTGCATAGAAAGTGCCCTTCCAAAATGATCAAAAGTGCCCCCGCGACGCGACACACCTTCGGTCCCGCCCTTCAGTACGCGCGCGATAACACCGCTCTTGAGTACGTGCGCGACAACACAGCTGATCAGAACGCGCGCGACAACGCGCATTGAGTGACAAGCGCGCTGTGTACGGATAGAATCAGCGGAGCGGGAAGCGCTCTCTCTCCCCGCTCCGCTGATTCTGTCAGAGTACAGCGGTCGGCGCGGGCCACAAAATATTGCACTGAGGGCCGCAAATGGCCCGCGGGCCGCGAGTTTGAGACCCCTGGTTTAAACTGTTAGAATAGTCACAACTGCATCAAAATCAAGATGTTATTTTCTGCCACTTTTCCAGAAGTAGGCAGGACATTTACAGTCTGTACCTCTGATACTCTCAAGACAAAGTATTGTTTTGGTTTTTATCCTGCTTGTCCCGCTAACAGGACATTGCACTTCTTCTATTGTAGTTTCATTCATTTCAAAAGCATAGACAGCAGTAGGTACTGTATGTTACATGGCTGTCATTTTCATGCACAGATATAATATAAACATTTCTTTCCCAACTGTTTGTTCACATATCGTACCTAACTGACTGTGTTTATGGGAACTTTGTGTTTATAAATGTGTAACACACTTGTAATTGACAGTTTACCTGCAATAAGATGCAACAGACATCAGCTGGTGTTCTGTGTGTCCAAAATCCTGTAT